CTAATGAAACCAACCAAGCAAAGTCCATTAACGGTACTGCGCTGAATATTTCCAGTTCTTTTAATAAACAAGTTCTACTTTCAACTGCAATTATTTTCGTTAAGGGTAATGATGGAAAATTTATCTCGCTGAGAGCCTTGCTGGATTCCGGTTCTCAAAATAATTTCATTACTAAAGAAGGTGCTGAGTTATTGAATTTGAAGAAAAGAAAAATAAAACGCTTCTATTTCAGGTATCAATGGTACAGTTATGGGTGTTAAGGAAAAAGCTATAGCAACCATCGCTAACGCTACTAGAGATTTTATTCGTACCTTACAATTTTTTGTTGTTCCAAAAATAACTCGCGTAACGCCTGCTAGATATATAAACATTCCTGATGTTAAGCAGTTGCAACTCATTGGTTTAGCTGATCCAGAGTTTTATAAAACCTGGTCAAATACATGTTTTATTATCTAACGAAATATTTTTTGATTTACTGGGAACAAATAGAATAAATATGCAAGACCTGATTCTCCATCAGTCAGTTTTTGGATACATCGTTAGCGGGTCAGTACGCATGCCGCAGCAAGGCAGTGTTGATAATTTTGTGGGTTTGTGGAAAATGGGGATAATTTATCTGACAACATGAGAAGGTTTTGGGAGATTGAAGGTATTAATGAAGCAAAAAAAGTGAAAAGTCAGGAAGAGGAATTTTGTGAACAGCACTTTCTTCGTACACACACGAGGCAAGATGATGGCAGATATGTAGTGGAAATGCCAATTAAGGAGGAAGGACTTAGCCTTTTAGGGGAATCGAGAGAAAACGCTAGCAAAAGACTGAATTATCTACTTAAACGCTTCACTCGCAATCCCGCAATGAAACACTTATACGAAGATTTCATTAAGGAATATAATGAATTAGGCCATTCCGAAGAAATTGATGAAGGGGATAGCTCTAGTTTCTCATATTATCTTCCTCACCATGGGGTTTTCAGGCCCGAGAAACCTAGCACTAAACTTAGGGTAGTGTTCGATGCCACTGCTCCTACGACTACTGGAATTTCGTTAAACGATATTCTGCTGAATGGAGGGTTAGTTCAAGACGAACTATTTGATATTATTTGCAGATTTCGAACGCATAAAATTGCCTTCACAGCAGACATTGTAAAAATGTATCGTCAGATTTTGATTAAAGAACATCAAAGAGATTTATTACGCATCTTATGGAAGAGTAGTGAAGAAGAACCAGTTAAGGTCTATAGACTGAAGACTATAACTTACGGTACTTCCAACGCACCATATCTAGCAACACGCACACTTAATCAATTAGCAGAAGACGAGAAAATAATTTTTTCGTTAGCAGCGCCAATAGTACAAAGGGATTTTTATGTCGATGACGTACTCACAGGAGCCCATACTCTAATAGAGGCTAAAGAATTACAGTCGCAATTGATTAACCTATTATCACGTGGAGGAATGCGTCTGCACAGATGGTGTGCTAATCATCCTGATCTTTTGCAGTTTCCGGATGGACAAGAGGAATATTCTTTCAGTAATTTCGATGACGATCAGAGCATCAAAACTTTAGGATTATTATGGAATCCAAAGATAGATTGTTTTTCGTACAAATCAACCATCAAGAAACCAACTACTTACACAAAGAGAACAGTGTTGTCTGATATTGCTCGCATTTATGATCCATTAGGACTGCTTGGTCCAGGGATAACAAAAGCAAAAATCTTCATCCAAAGACTTTGGTTATTGAAGCTTGATTGGAACGATCCGCTACCCGAAAGGATAATTAAGGATTGGCAACTTTTTATTGATTCAATGCAATCTATCAACAATTTGAAAGTCAGTAGATATGTTTTACAGGATAGTTTTTCTGATATACAAATTCATGGATTTTCAGATGCATCAGAACACGCATACGGAGTAGCCATCTATTTACGCTGTAGAAGTGACAATAATTTATCTTCACATTTGCTTTGCAGCAAGTCCAGAGTAGCTCCACTAAAACCGTTGACAGTACCTCGACTGGAACTCTGCGCAGCTGTACTGCTAGCACAGCTTGTTGCAAAGGTGGTGCCTTTATTGAAATTGGACATCAGTAAAATATGTCTGTGGTGTGACTCAACCATAGTGTTAGCATGGCTTCAGAATCCTCCGCATGTACTAAAAACTTTTGTTGCTAATCGAGTGTTGCAGATCCAAGAGCTAACACAGACATGCCAGTGGAATTATGTGCGTTCAGAGGAGAACCCAGCAGACCTTATTTCCCGAGGACTGAATTTTGACAAGCTGCATGATGCTGATCTGTGGTGGAAAGGTCCTCCATTCTTGAGTGAGGGGTGTCATACCTAACAAGAACATTGACTTTGAACAATTAGAAAAAACAGAGACATTTTCTAATGAACTGAGAAAAAGAACTGACATTGCTTGTTTATGCACTTTGCCTTCAAAATTTATTGATAATGTCCTAGAATATCACTAACAATTATTTAAAATTATTACGTATTGTTAGTTATATTTTCAGGTTCATTTGGAACTCTAGGTGTGCAAAACAGAAAGGAGCACAGAGAAGAACAGGAGGAGTAAGTTCAAAGGAGTTAAATGAGGCAGAATCCTTTTTAGTAAGAGAGGTTCAAAAATGTAGTTTTTATTCAGATTACAACTCCCTCGCACAAGGTAAACCCATTAATAATAAAAGTAATTTACTTTCTTTGAACCCTTTTTTGGATGCAAATAATGTAATGAGAGTAGGAGGCCGATTACAAGGGGCCAATGTAATGTTTTCACAAAAAACATCAAATAATTTTGCCTGTTAAATGCAAACTAACTAAGCTGATTGCTGAGCATTATCATCAGAAATATTTACACGTAGGTTCGCAAGCATTATTGTGTTTTATGAGACAGAAATTTTGGCCATTACAAGGTAGGAATTTAACTAGAAAGATTACCCATGAATGTATAATTTGTAGTAAAAATAAACCAGTCACTATCGAACAAATTATGGGGTCATTACCTGCAGAGCGCGTAAATCCAAGCTCACCCTTTAATCATGTCGGCACCGATTTTTGCGGTCCATTTTTTATTAGGTACAAGGGACAGAGGAAAGGAACTCTTCATAAGGTATATTTAGCTCTTTTCATTTGCCTTATAACAAAGGCAGTGCATCTCGAACTAGTGAGTGAACTCACCACTGACGCATTTATTGCCACCTTAAAGAGATTTATTGCTAGGCGCGGAAAATGCTCAATCATTTTCTCAGACAACGCAAAAAACTTCGTTGGCGCAAATGCCGAATTGCAAAGAATTAACAATTTAATTAGAAATCCTGACAAAAAATTAGCAGATTATTTAGGTGAAGAAGGAATAGTATGGAAGTTTATTCCCCCACGGACACCTAATTTTGGTGGACTATGGGAATCTGGAATAAAATCCGTGAAATATCACTTAAAGCGGATTGTAGGTAATGCAAGGTTGACTTTCGAGGAGTTATTAACTGTAGTAACTCAGATAGAGTCTGTTTTAAATTCTCGCCCTATTACTCCCTTATCTTCCGATGTAAATGATTTAGAGGCATTAACACCAGGTCATTTTCTCATTGGAAGACCCTTGAATGCTATAGTAGAACCCGAATTAATTGATATACCTGAAAACAGACTCTCAAGATGGAAACGAACTACCAGATTTGTCCAGTTGATATGGAATCGTTGGCATAGGGACTATTTAAACACACTACAACAGCGTTCAAAATGGAAGGTAGAACAAACGAATATTAAAATAGGTATGCTAGTACTAGTTAAGGAGGATGAGCTTCCTGTCTGTAGATGGGTGTTAGGGCGCATTACAAGAATTTTTCCTGGAGTTGACGGTAAGGTTAGAGTAGTAGAAATACAGACAGCAAAGGGCATCATTAAGCGTGGAATTACAAAAATTGCAATTTTACCCCAAGAAGAAGCTTCCTAAGTTAGTTAAGTGTTAGCTTATTATTATAAAACTTGTATTGTACATTGTATTGTGTATAAAATTTTGTATTGAAAATTGAATATTATTATATTGAATTAAGAGATGTTATTCGTATTGCATTTATTGTATAAGGTAGTAATTGTACAATTTTGTAGGTTATTATGAGTATTATCGCACGAAATTATTGAAGTAACCCTTCAATGCCGGGGGGTATGTTAAGTCATTAAGACTATTTAACTGTAAGATTACGTCATTTTTTTTCTCTTCTTGGCGCCTTGCATGGCGCAGATGTTCATTACAGCAACCCTGTAAACGCTTACTCAGTTTTTTTTTTATTGCTGTTGTTATTAGTAGTAAGTCATCGCTTGAAAGATGGCACGCATTTGATTAAAGTTGTCGAATAAAATATTTAGTACAGTCCACTTCTAGTTAATTTGAAATTGTTGTATAACAACGCACACATCGCATGAACAATAAGTGTTAAAATTATTGCAATGCACAATTATTTGCATTTACGGAAACTACATTTGTTTCGTTAAGAGTCATCTTAAGAGTACAAATATATTTTCTGTATGGAGGGCGATGGATTAGTCAAGGTGGTCTCATAGCTTGGCCATCAAGATCACCGGATCTCTCGTGTTTAGACTTTTTTTGTGGGGCCTTACGAAAAGCGTAATCTATGAGGGCCTTATTGAAACCAAATACGGATCTAGTCGCCAGGATCGCTGTTGTTGCAGGCGATATTCGGGAAATGCCTGGTGTCTTCGCAAATGCGCGTCAGTCCCTGGGAAAGCCAGGCAAATCAGCGGATTGGTGTAGGACAGTACAATAGTGGCGTATGGGAAAATTAGGGAATCTCCTTTCACGGCACTCGGAACGGTGCTCGAGCAAAACTATTAAGTGGTTAACTCTTGATAAAATTTAAATCGAATGTCACAACTAAAATGTGCAGGTGTGATATAATTAATTCATTGCAATGGTATACTGATTTGTATTTTATTAAATGTCAATTCTGGCTTAGACTAAAAATGATGTTTATTTTATTCCAGGACTTTAGAAGCCCCCATTGATTCTCTTCCTTTGCAAAAGTCGTCGGAGAAGTCCATACCCACGACAAGCCAACTAAGATCTGTATGTGCAATAACTCGTCTGTTGGGATCTGAGACCAAAACTGTTTACAGCTTCGGACTCGAAAAAGAAATCATAGAAATATTCATTGATGGTTACCTGAGAGTGAGAGTAGAAAATAGCGTCATTCAAGACGTTTATCACAGTGACTGGAGTAATTCTACTTTACCGAATGATCTGAAACTCAGTGCAGCGACCGTCATTGATGCAAACGGATGCAAGATCAAAACAACACGAGTTTGTGACGGCCAGAAGGATGAGATAGTTATTTTCAAAAATGACTGCGTTTTGTGTAAAGCCAGTAATAGTACAGTTATATGAGGAAACGACAACTTAATAGTTTAAGGACATGTTAAATAAACAAGCTTATTTTTTATGTGTGCAATTATTTTTGATTAAGAAATAAAACTGACACCATTCATATTTGATTCGTTTTTGTAAGTTTTTAATGAAATCACACATCTGTCTGATATTTGAGTGTTTGAAGTTTGTTGGCCAGTTACGTTACTTAATGAAAAATATTTGATGTGAGCATTACGTGACTTCATTGTACGGCTTATTAAATTGTACACATTTTTGCTACACTTCATTTATAACTTGTTTCTACGAATTTCATTAGAGACATATTTCTAATTCAAACAATTCAGTTTTCATTTCATGGCAAGGCAAAAAATACATAAAAGCTCGATCCTCATTTAGAAAGACTTTAAACACAAAATACAGTTGATTACACTTAAAAAAGCAAAATCACCTGAATAGTGTTCAAGGCTGCCAACGGCAGGCATATTCTTACACGCACAACAAATCATGTATTTTGAATTATTGGAATTTTAATTGCCTTTAATTAACTTTTGGTTTTTAATTGACCTTTGATTTTCGTTAGTTACCTGGTTTTAATTAATCGTTATCCTGTCACCTCAACAAAAACGTATGTCTGGCGTGATAAATACTCATTTTTTGTGATTAAGAGCGAAAGGATAAGAAAGGTATAAAGGCTTAATTATGAGCGAAAGAATAAAAAAGGAAAGAAGGTTTAATTAGTTCTCGCTGTAAATGTCAATTGTGTACGAAAGGAATGCGTTTGGTCGAGCTTTAAAGATCAGTCGGATGGCTATGAGAAGGTTTATTGCCAGAAAGGGTCCAAAACTAACGTTTATACCAATAATTACGATTGAGGGTATGTGGAATACGAGAGGAATACTTTTTCTGTTTTTGCAACGGTAATTTTAAGAGTTGTCTTCTTGTCTTCTTCAGATCTTGACAAGTTTTATAAATTTAGCCTCACAACTTTGCAGATAGTTTGAAAGCTCATATACAATTACTATTAATTTATCTAATTTAAAAAATGATGGTTTTGTTATAGCACATAAATATTTTTTACAGCATTCAGAAACATGGAAGAAAAGTAAATGGCCGAAAATTTTCAATCGCTTTGTTTCAGTCACAGTTTGTGTAAGAAATACTGCAACGCTTAAAATCCAAACGCATAACCAGATTTTTAATTTAAAAAAAAAGGACACACTTTTTGGAACCACTTCTTTTCTGATGTTGTTGTTCTTTGATGTTGAACCTGCAATACAATTTTTCCAGAATCGGAATGAGCATCTGTTTCCAGAAGTTCGGGCTTCTTTCTTTCCAGCATTTTCAAAGCGATGGTTTCAAAAATCTACAATTAGACGAAACAAGTGTCATATTCTCAAAGAATGATTTTATTTGTCATAATTCTTTCATGATTTCCAGTAAGCCTGTCTTCAAAAGATGACAATCATTTTGTGCTTTAAACCGGTTATACACATGTTTTATGCAACATGAGCCATGCTTAAATTTATTTTATAGTCGTAATATTCAAATGAAAATACTGATGCGTGGGTACGGGTTTGCTATAGATTAAATGCACAAGTCCGATAAAAAGTTAACAAAATTTATTCTTATTACAAGAAATACAACAAAACCCTGGATTTTCCCTCAAAGCTATTCGTACAATATCGCAATATCACGCAATATTTTCAGTAGCTATATTTTAATCTACTAAAACATTAAATAGAACACAATTCAAAGCGCAAAGAAAGCTAACCCGATCTTAAAATTACAGCAGCTAAGTAAGCAACAACAATTTAGTAATCAATTGAACAGAAGTTTTTCTCCGGCTTTTTAAAGCTTTTTAATGGCGCACGAGAACATTCTGGTAATTTCTATTTTCTCGAGGTTTCTGGAAAGCAAAAGGGTAGAATTACAGTTACAGATAACACGCAATTACATTTATTCAATTTAAATATAAATTACGAGGTATCTATTAAATGCGCGTGCTCCTGTATTTTTACTTTTTCGGTGTAGCTTTCTCTTAAATCTCTTCACGCGTAGCATTGCGCGAGGAAATAAAACAATTTTAATTACAATTCTACTGAACATAGCTAACTAAATACAAAATCCGAAACAATAATTTTAATAATTTCAAATTATTGGTAATTATTTATTATAGTTAGTAAAAAAGTAACACATAATCTACTATAGCTCAGTAAACACGAGAAAAATGGTTTGATTTCGTTTATATAATTACTAGCAGCTTCGCTGCCAGCTTTCCTCTGGCTTTTAAATGTACCGGAAAAATGGCTGAAGGGAACCCCAAACGGTACTATTCCGTTTTGAGGACCGTAAAAAATTGCAGCGAAAATGTATGCGCAAAAACGCCAAATCTAGCAAACGCGCCCACTTAACAGCGCGCCAAATCTAGCGTACGCGCTGATTTCAGATTGCGTAAGTCTATATAGTTCTATATTTCTTAAGACGCCATTGAAATACTAATCTATTAGTTTAATTTTTAAATCCTTTTTTGATTTTAAATCCTTTTTTAATATCCTATGGATTTAACAATTTGGGAACTGCCCATGACGAAAAGTCGGCAATAAAATTTTGGGTAAAGTGCAAAATCACCCACTGCTTGACGCGTTTTTAAGAATTGCACATACTCGGCATCCATGTGCACATCGACCTATTTTCACTTAAAAAAAAAATCCCAGAATTGCACAAAAATGGCACTGCGCACACCCTTGGCTATATCTATGTACACATCGACCTATTTTCACTTAAAAAGTAAAAGAAAATTGACAAAAACCCAATTATTTTTACCCTTGTAAAAAGCGGCAAACAAATAAGTGGGCGATTCTGCACTTTACCGGGAATATTTTCAAAGAAAAGGCATCATTCTTTATACAAAATTACGATTGAACAACCAACGAGATGAAATTATGCTTTAGCGATAACTCGGTAGCGAAATAGCAATGCAGGCATCCATTCAGTTATGTTTAGCAATTTTTATGTAAATTATGATAATGATCTGAAATAGTTATTTACTCTTATGCTTCCATTCAGTCATGTTTAGCCTTTTTCATATAAATTATAATAATAAAAAAAGTATTATATGAAATTAACTTTCCATCTAGATTAAAATATCAATATTACATATTTATTTAACTTCCTTTCTTGCGTTAGGGTTGCTGCAATTATTTTGGCTGCATTGGCATCAACAATAGTTTGGCGATTTTTTACGGCCCTCGAAACCGAATAGTACCCACCAAACTTTAAATTTAAAAACTGCGTAGAATTTTACTCTGCAGAACAACTTCATAAAAAAAAAGTTATTACGTATAACAAAATTACAATGAAATAAGAAATACCCCTTAATACAAATATTAATTATCCTAATAAATAAATTAACCAACTTCCCTTAGCAAAATCTTAACTCAAATCGTATAAAAAAGTTTAAGAATTTTGTTTCCTAAAAAAATCACTCAAAACTTTTCAATAACTTAAAAACAGTGAAATGAGCAATAAATAACATAGAAGAATACAAAAAACAAAAAATTCTGAAACGCAAACTATAATTAATGATATTTTATCTTATATTTTCAAGACAAAAAAATTACAATGAAATAAGCTACTATATCCCTTAATACAAATGTTAATTATCCTAATAAAAAAATTAACCAACTTTCCGTTGAAGAAAAAAAAAATCATGCAAAACTTTTCAATATCTTACAAACAGTGAAATAAGCAAAAAGTAACATGAAAGCAACTCAAAAAAACATAAAATTCCGCGCAGAATTTTACTCTGCAGGACAACTTTATCAAAAAAAATCAATAAAAATGTAATATATATATATATATATGACAATGAAATATACCAATCTCTTAAAAACAGTGACATAAGAAATACGATGGAAAATTGTTGCCAAACCCCTATTTCTAAAAGAATGAAACTATTCAAAATGACGCGATTTCATCAAAAATCTATCAACAACAATAAGACAGGAAAATTGTTGCCAAAGTCACATTTTTAATAATTATAATAAATTTTGATGATGTAAGAAGTGTTCTCGGAAGCTTCATTTAAAAAATTCTTTAAAAATACAAAATCTTATCATTTTCCAAAATTCTTTTTATAAAAGCAGTCGCAAGGATGAATGTTTAACGTGTCCAAAAGTCAAAGAAAAATAAACTGTACATTTTTAAATATAAACTTTTTAAGAAAAAATCCCGTTGAAAAGGTGTTAGCTCCCTTTGTTAAATAAATTCGTATTTAATCGATTTATTGAAACACGAAATTTATTTTAAGTTCGTAAAATAGCTAAGTGCCTACGCTTCATGACGATGTGAAAATGGAGTGTGTAGAGTAAAATCTCGCTTTCCTATAGCCCATTATGTCTCAAAATGACGCGATTTAGTCACAAAACATAAAATAAAAAAAATTCTAAATCGAATTTCGAAAAACTCGCTTCGAGGTGCACTGGGTCTTGTATAGATGCACTCATGTACCAAATTTCGTAGCCGTGGGTCTATTAGCTTACGCGCAGCGCAAACGAAAGACACACACACACACAGACAGACTCTTTCTTCGATTGTATGTAGAGACAGCAAAGCATTCCATTGCGCTATCTGCCTAATTATTAATCTGTAGGCGTCTCTGCTCCGCGTGACACCGTTAGTCCGCACTACAGGTCCAACTTCCCTCAGGACCAGGCGCGCAGGTTCAACCTCCGCTCTGGCCCCTCAAAGGGGCTGGAGCACCACCTGGAATTCACCAGGTAGCCCTGGTCGTTAGTTTGCTACCTACCAGTCGCATGGGCGAGCCTGTCGCAGTGGGTCATTACCCAGCAAACCAGGGGGCGTCACCCCCCGGCTACCAGAGCTGTACCGCTCAGGACATGCCAGAACCCGAGGCCGGCCAATGAGTGACCTTTCCCAGGGCCTTCAGAACCACCAAGTTTATAAATTTTATAACCACGTGGCCGAGACTGCCTAGGTACAGATCCTAGCCAGTAGCTTCGGAGAGTTCTTTACGTAGACCCCGGGAGGGGGGAGGGTATCTGCCTGAGGGAAAGGTGTCTTCAGGGAGGACCTTCTGAGATAAATTGGGTCGTATACGC